GTGGCGCTGTGGCTCAAGTGGTAGAGCGCTAGCCTTCAGCTGAAGAGCTGAGGGACAGTGCCCAGGCCCAGAGTTCAGGCCCCACAACCGGACCCAAAAAAAAAAAAAAAAGAAAGAAAAAGGGAAAAAGCCAGTATTTTTTTTCTTTTTTTTGGTTGGTCATGAGGTTTGAACTCTGGGCCTGGGTGCTGTCCCTCAGCCCTTCAGCTCAAGGCAAGCGCTCTACCACTTGAGCCACAGCGCCACTTCCGAAAAAAGCCAATTCTAATGAGGGCCTTCTCTGCCATGCTGTAGTACCAGGGGTGGACCTGAGGCTCCTGAGATCAGGAAGCCCAAAGACAGAACACAACCCAGAGGTCTAGCTCCATAGCACCTCCTTGTAACCACAGAAACAAATAAACTTTCTTTGTAGAAAAGCTAAATCTAGGTCCTCAGGAATCCAACTGCTCTACCAGGGCTGGGAAGGTGGCTCAGTGGTAGAGCGCTTGCCTCGCATGCATGAGGCCCTGGGTTCGATTCCTCAGCACCACATAGACAGAAAAAAAAGCTGGAAGTGGTGCTGTGGCTCAAGTGGTAGAGCGCTAGCCTTGAGCTGAAGAGCTGAGGGACAGCGCCCAGGCCCAGAGTTCAGGCCCCACGACCGGACCAAAAAAAAAAGAAAAGATGAGTTGTGGACATGTGTCACTCTGGAAAAGGTCACCAACAAATGAAGGATATAATCTGAATCATAGGTATCCAGTAAGAAGTCTGTAGAAGAACAAGTAAATAAATGTATATAACTTTGTCTTTTTCCCTAATTATCCTAACTTGTCAGCCAAACTACTAAAACAGAACACTGATTTGGGTTTTTTTTTTGGGTTTTGGGTTTTTTTTTTGTTTTGTTAGTCATAGGGCTTAAAACTCTGGGCCTGGACACTGTCCCTCAGCTCTTCAGCTCAAGGCTACTGCTCTACCATTTGAGCCATAGCACCACTCGGAACACTGTTTTAACTAGTGAACAAATACTTGGCTGGCTGCCTACATGTTCAATCCAACCCCTAGTGACCAGAGTAAAGAATGAAGGCAAATCAAGCACTCTGCTCACTAATGCACATGCAGGTGCCCACACAGTCTAGACCAGTCAGCAAACTTCTATACAGGGCCAAAGAACAAGCATTTTCAGCTCCACAGGATACAACTACTCAATTCCACACTGTTGTTTTGCTTTGTTGTTTTTTAGTGCTGGTACTGGGGCGTGAATTCAGGTCCTCAGTGCTGACTTGGCACTGCTTTTTCATTCAAGGCTAGCATTACCACATGAATGACAGCTCCACTTCCAGCAGTTTGCCAGTTTATTGGAGACAAGAGTCAACTGAGCTCTGGTAGCTCACATCTGTAATCCTAGCTACTCAGGAAGCAGGGATCTGAGGATCCCAGATAGAAGTCAACCCAGTCAGAAAAGTCCACAAGACTCATCTGCAATTAACCACCAAAAAGATGAAAGTAGAGCCAGGCACCGGTGGCTCACACCTGTAATCCTACTCAGGAGGCTGAGATCTGAGGATGGAGGTTCAAAGCCAGCCTGGGCAGGAAAATCCATGAGACTCTTATCTCCAATTAGCCACCAGAAAACCAGACGTGATGCTGTGGTTCAAGTGGTAGAGCGCTTGCCTTGAGCTGAGGAGTGCAGGGACAGCGTCCAAGCCCAGAGTTCAGGCCCCACAACCCACAAAAAAAAAAAAAAAAAAAAGTTTTTCTACTCATGCTGGCTTGGAACCACGATCTCAGCCTCCTGAGTAGCTAGAATGACAGATACAAACCACCAGCATCCAATTTAACTCCATGTTTACAGCATGTAAAAAGCCATGGATACAACCAAGCAACATAGCTGTGTCCCAAAAACACACCACACCAAAGCCTCAATGGTACACTGGACTACAGCCTGCCTTCCTAGACCACACCGCCCACATGGCATTTCTTCACACAGAGCTGTGTTCCAAGCCCAGTCCTTCCCTCAGACAAGTAGATGGACTCCACTGCAGATCTACACTAGAAGCTTGTCCAGATACATTCCAGAGTTCTGTAACATCAGTCAGACCTACTTAGCAGTAACAGAACCGTTAGGATTGTGGCCATCTACCCAGAAAACAGATTCCCTATACAGTGGTCAATTAACATGACAGTAAGTAGAGTAGCAGGAGGAGGAAGCAGGATAAATCCCAAGCAGCCTCAGGAAGTCAACAGGCTTTGGCTCCTCCTTGTTCCTCATCTGTTGGGTGATCACTTACTTGATTTTTAGCAAATGGAGGGATTTGCTGCTCGACGCTGTTATCTCTCCAGTCTTGTTTCTGTTGATGTAAACTGAGAAGCCGTTGTTCTGGAAGCCAAACTCCTTTGCAACCTAAGAGACCCAATACAGATTTGGTAAAATATTTCAGTATTACTACACATACCACACCACATCAAGACATTTTAGCAGAACAATAGTTCCTCATTAGCCAAACTCATTATTTCGCTCTTATTTAAGGAAATGTGCACCATTCATTCAAGTCCCAATACAAACAGGAAAGTAGTCTTCTGTAAATGCATTTAAGAGTCTGAAGAGAGGAGTTGAAGGGATGGCTCAAGTGGTAGAGCGTCAGCCAATGAACAAAAGCGCCAGGTACCACGTTTGAGTCCTAGTCTCTGAAGGGGAAAGAAAAAAATCAGACAGGGCTGGGAAGGTGGCTCAGTGGTAGAGTGCTTGCCTTGCATGCATGAGGACCTGGGTTCCATTCCTCAGCACCACATAAGCAGAAAAAGCCAGAAGTGGGACTGTGGCTCAAGTTGTAGAGCACTAGCCTTGAGCTGAAGAGCTGAGGGACAGCGTCCAGGCACAGAGTTCAAGACCCATGACCAACCAAAAAAAAAAAAAAAAAACATAAAAAGAAGCTGGAAGTGGAGATGCAGCTCAAGTAATAGAAAGCTAGCTTTGAGCAAAAAAGCTAAGAAATAGCACCTAGACCTTGAATTCAAGCCTCAGTAATGGCACTAAATAAGACCCAGACACTGGTAAGTTCATCATGCTTGCAATCCTAGTTACTCAGGAAGCAAAGCTGAGGATCAAGGTTCAAAAAACTGAACCCCAACAGGAAAGTTTATGAGACTCTTATCTCCAATTAACCACCAAAAAACAAGAGGAGCTTAGTTCAAAGTGATAGCCCTAGACTTGAAGAAACGAGCTCAGGGACAGTACCAAGTTCCATGACCAACAAAAACATAAAAATAAAAAATAAACAACTGAAGGAAAGCAAGCTGCTTAGCTACTCAGGAGGTTAACATTCAGAGGACTTCAGTTCAAGATCAGCCAGGGCAGGAAAAATTGTGCTAGAATCCATGTTAAAAAAAAAAAATACCCAGGGGCTGGGAAGGTGGCTCAGTGGTAGAGTGTTTGTTTGCCTAGCATGCATGAAGCCCTTGGTTTGATTCCTCAGTACCACATACACAGAAAAAGCGGAAGTAGTATTGTGGCTCAAGTGGTAGAGTGCTAGTCTTGAGCACAGAGAGACTCAGGGACAGCACCCAGGCCAAGTTTAAGCCCCAGGACTGGCCAAAATAAAAATAAATTTAAAAAAATAAAATAAAACAGGTTTGCTCAAATGGTAGAGCCAGTCTTGAATGAAAAAGCCAAATTAGAGCTAGAGGTCCTGAATTCAAGCCCCAGTACCAATATTCACACAAAATTTAAATAATAACAACAATAAAATAACTGTAATAAAAGGATCAAGTTCCCATCATAGAGGATCCTACTGTTAAATGTGGTATCCTGAAAGAAAAAGATCCCTTTGTTTCTTTTGCCAGTCGGAGGGCTTGAATTCTGGGCCTAGACACTGTCCCTGAGCTTTTTTGCTCAATATTAGCATTCTACTACTTGAACCACAGCTCCACTTCTAAAGTAACATTTTTCTATGGAGAAAGCACTACAGACTACTGCCAAGAATGGGAGCATTTTGCCAGGGGCATTAGCTATTTGATGGGAGAAAAAAGGGAATGAAGAAATGAGAAGGAAAAGCACAGATGTGAACTGTGAAGAGTGAAGGGGACCCTGAAAGGTAAATGTGCACACCAATAGTACCTTTTTCAAAAATGCTGCAGCTGTTTCTCTTTTTGTTGCTGTGATCCGCTTCACTCCATCCGGAGACTGGACTCGGATGATCTGTTGTAAATTTTAAAAAGATGGGTTACTTGGGCTTGGGCCTAGTAAGTTGCTAATCTATTTTCAAGACTCTTTTTTTTTGGGGGGAGGGTGTCAGTCCTGGGGTTTGAATTCTGGGCTCGGGCGCTGTCCCTCAGCTCTTCAGCTCAAGGCCAGCACTCTACCACTTGAGCCACAGCGCCACTTCCGGTTTTCTAGTGGGGGGGGGGGGGGCTTATTGGAGATAAAGAGTCTCACGTGGACTTTCCTGCCTGGGCTGGCTTTGAACCGCGATCCTCAGAGCTCAGCCTCCTGAGTAGCTGGGATGACAGGCTGAGCCACCTGGACTCAGCTATTTAAGACTCTTATCTGCAATCTTTCATCATCTAAAAAAAACACCCTTTCCATTTCATACCTAACTCAGTATTTGCAGTAGAGAAGCAAAGGGAAGCAAAAGGGTGAGTTGAAACAACTCCTTAAGCTAGTGGACAGCCTAAGAGCATGGTCCTGATTCAAACCCTAGTCTAATCTAAGTATCTAATCATTATTTAGTTATGTCTGAAACACTTTTTTTCTCTTTAAACTTATAAAAACAAGAAAAACAACAAAACTACCGTGAACCACGAATGGCTGAACTCTTTACGAAAGATCTCTTTATTCTAGGATCCATATACACAACAGAATGACAAAGAATCACAGAAAACTTTCTTATTTATTTTTAATTAAAAAAAAAAAAAGCCAGGCGCTGGTGGCTCACACCTTTCGTCCTAGCTACTCAGTCTGAGAGCTGAGGAGTGTGTTTCGAAGCCAGCAGAAAAGTCCAGGAGACTCTTATTTCCAATTAACCATCAGAAAACCGGAAGTGGCACTGAGAGCTCAGGGACAGGACCCAGGCCTGTAATCCTAGCTACACAGGAAAAGCTCAAGGCCATCCCAGATAGTGTAGCAAGACAGTATTTTTGTTGTTGTTGTTGTTGTTGGTCGTGGGGCTTGAACTCTGGGCTTGGACTCTGTCCTTGCCCTCTTCAGCTCAAGGAGAGTGCTCTACCACTTGAGCCACAGCACCACTTCAGGTTTTCTGGTGGTTTATTGGAGATAAGAGTCTCACGGACTTTCTTGCCCTAGCTGGCTCTGAATTGCATTCCTCAGATCTCAGCCTCCTGAGTAGCTAGGATGACAGGCGTGAGCCACTGACAATGGCTCAAGACAGTATGACTTACAGTGCTGCTGAACAGTAGAGTGTCTATTTACCAAGCCCAGAGTTCAAATCTCATCACCATCATTAAAAGAAAAGGAAGCCGGGCGCCGGTGGCTCACACCTGTCATCCTAGCTACTCAAGAGGCTGAGATCTGAGGATCATGGTTCAAAGCCAGCCCGGGCAGCAAAGTCCGTGAGACTCATCTCCAGTAAACCACTAGAAAACCAGAAGTGGCGCTGTGGTTCAAGCAGAAGAGTGCTCGCCTTGAGCTGAAGAGCGCAGGGATAGCGCCCAAGCCGAGTTAAAGCCCAACCCACCAAAAAATAAAAATAAAAACTTGCAATGCAAAAGAAAAGGAGATCTTTGGGGCATAGTTTAAGTGGTACAAATTTAACTGTTTATCTAACATACAGGAAGCCCTGAAGAGAAAGGTTGAGAAAGGAAGAAGGCAGGTAGATCTTTCATACATCATCAACTTTAAGAGAGTTTTAAAAAAAAATTTTCGCCGGGCGCTGGTGGCTCACGCCTGTAATCCTAGCTACTCAGGAGGCTGAGATCTGAGACTCCTGTCTCCAATAAACCACCAAAAAACCTGAAGTGGCACTGTGGCTCAAGTGGTAGAGCGCTCGCCTTGAGCTGAAGAGCTGAGGGACAGCGCCCAGGCCCAGAGTTGAAGCCCCACGACCGACAAAAAAAAAAATTTTTCATAGCAGGCCTGAAAAAGTTGGAAGACTACTACAAAACTACTAAACATGGGCTGGTAATGTGACAGTGGTAGAGTGCTTGCCTGGCATGCATGAAGCCCACGGTTTGATTCCTCAGTACCACATAAACAGAAAAGACCAGAAGTGGTGCTGTGGCTCAAGTGGTAGAGTGCTAGCCTTGTGTAAAAAGCAGCTCAGGGCCGGGTACTGTTGGCACACATGCATGCACGCACGCGCGCGCACACGCGCACACACACGCGCGCGCGCACACATACACAAAACTACTAAACACTCACTACTACTTTCTAGGCCTTGATTTTACACTGATCAAGTTCTCTGAGAGAAGGTGATTATGCTGGCTGCTGTATCAGCCCCTGCTTTAGTCAGAAAGCATGAACTAGCATGCCCTGAAAATAAGGCAGCTGCTGTCCAATCACCTGAGGGGTGGGAAGGGAGAAACAAGAACATACCAGAAAATGTTCACATTGTAGTTTTTCCTCTCTGAAACCACTGATTGTACACTGTACTTAAAACAATACTAAGTGGATGTAAAAAGTAGCAAGGCATTGTTCTAATAAAGACTTCCACTAATACACAATATGGCTGTCAACTAAGTCCATTGTTAGCAAACTAAAGACTAATGACTGGGCATGTTAGCCTTTCTTTTTTCTTTTTTTTTGGTCAGTCGTGGGGCTAACTCTGGGCCTGAGTGCTGTCCCTCAGCTCTTCAGCTCAAGGCAAGCACTCTACCACTTGAGCCACAGCGCCACCTCTGGTTTTCTGGTTTTGGTTTATTGGAGATAAGAGTCTCACAGACTTTCCTGCCCAGGCTGGCTTTGAACTGTGATCCTCAGATCGCAGCCTCTGCGTACCTAGTATTACAGGTGTGAGCCACTGGTGCCCTGCTATGATAGCCTTTCTTAATCCTAGCACTCAGGAGGCTGAGGCAGAAGAATACAGTGAGCTCAAGTGGTAGACCATTAGCCTGAGCACAAAGAGGCTCAGGGACAGCACCCAGGTCTTGAGTTCAAGCCCCAGGACAGGCAAAAGATATATATTTATATATACACACACACACACACACATATATATATATACACCCATACACATACATTTGCATATACAGTGTGTGTGTGTATATATATATATACACACACACATAACCTAGATTTTTCTAAATAGCCTGACACTGTCTCTTCTGACAACTTTCACTTGAGTTTGCCTCTCTATGTTCTCAAGTTTTCAGACTTTGTCCTGAATAATTCTGATTGCTGAAGAGCAACATACTGTGCACATTTTTGCTGTACGTGTATGTGTGCTGATCCTGGGGCTTGACCTCAGGCCCTAGGCACAGTCCTAGCGCTATTTTGCTCAAGGCTAGAGCTCTTTCTGCTTCCTAAGCACATCTAATTTTCTCATTCTTCTCCTTCACCTGTGCTAAATGCAAATATGAGTTAGTCACTTTGGCTACTGATTCTTGGTGTTCTTCATTCCAGGTTTAATATTTAGAGAAAAACACCAAAGTCTGGCTTGGTCCCTCATAATAAATACGAAAGGAAATCCACCCAAAGGGACAGATCAGACTACATGAACTCACAACCTTAGGTTGAAATTCCTAGTACCTACAATTTGATTTTCTGTTATTTATAAGGAGGCCATGTGTGAAGCTCAAGCCCAGGAATTCAAAGACAGCAGAGACCTAGACTTAGTCTCCAAGTGAGAGAAAGAACAAAAAACGGGGAGCAAAGGAGAGAGGAGGGCTGGGCGCTGCTGGCTGCCACCTGTGCTCCCAGGTACTCGGGAGGCTGAGGTGGGAGGATGGAGGCCCAGAAAAACAAAACAAAACCAAAGCCCCAGCCGCGTCCGGCGGTCGGGGAGACTCGGCCGAG